CACCCGGGGCCGCGAGAGTCACCAGGCCCCTCCTTTCCGCCCTCGGCCGGAGCGGAGTGTGCGGGTTCGCGGCGCGGCGCGGCCGGCCGGAGAGCGAGGCAGTGCAGCGGCCGCCGAGGCGCCGGGGGAGTTCAGACTGGGAAGCAAGAAGTCTTAGGACTAGAGGGAGGAGACCCAGGCCGCACTGGCCTTTCCGTTGCACACGGTTTTAGTGTGTTCTGTTCAACTGTTCAGCGATTTTGAGGTAACATAGTAATGCAAAGCATTGTTGTCTCTTGAAGTGTGCCAGTTTTTAATTTTTATTTTTTTTAAGCCAGTTTCACACTGTAGCCCCAGGCTAGCCTGAAACTCAGCGCCACATGCCTGCTTCATCCCCTCGAGTGCTAGGATTACCGGCATGGGTCACCACACCCACTCATTGTTGTAACTACAATGGACTGAGTGTGTGCCTAGCCTTTAGAATTATGTCGTAAAGTGCCATACATACGTACATATGTACGTACGTACGTATGTATGCTTTAAGTGGTCCAGGATCTGGTTTGTGAATTATGTTTCAAAATTTAAAATTTGTAAATTATGTTTCAAATTTTAAATTGTAAATTATATAAATTATAATGTATACTTACACACACATGTATAATGTTCTTTAAATGGTCCAGGATCTGATTTGTAAATTATAAGTTTCACAATGGTAGCCAGGCTTGGGGGTTGTATGCCTGGAACCCTAGGACTTGGGAGGTGAGGGTAAGGGATTGAGTTTGAGACCAGCCTGCGCTACATGACACATCCTTTTTTCTTCAAAACAAAAATGAATCTACATGAGAATTCATTCTCTCTCTCTGTCTCTCTCTCTCTCACACACACACACACACACACACACACACACACACACACACACACGTGCTTGCAAAGGCCCAATAACATCCTTTAAGGCAAGTCACCAAATGTCACATTGCCACATTACTAGTGAAAGCACCCCAGGTGACAACCTAGATCAGTTAAATGACATTCATTTACCTCCGTGTACTCTGAAGCAAAATCGATCTTTCTTTACCAGTGCAGCTTATATCTTACCCTACTTACCGAATAAATGATAACTGTTAATTATATTAGTATTGTTTTTTTTTTTTTTTTTTTTTTTTTTTTTTTTAGTAAAAAAGATTATCTGGCCTGCTTCATGATTTTGGCTTGATGTGAAAAGATTAAGGTACCGAAGAATATCCTTTTCACTTGATAATAGTATCACTTTATGATTTTTACATTGTAAGAAACAAAACATTCCCTCTCCTACCTGAAGCTCCAGGAGAAGAGAGCCCTCAGATCCTGAAGTTTAAGCAGGACCCTGCTAGTGTCCCTGAGCACATGGGCATGGTTTTCTTTCCATGTTAAAGTCTTTGATACGTTTTCAGAAGAATGGTTTAAGAACTTAGTTTTATCTTTCTTAGTTTTGGTTTAGTTTTTTGTTTTGAGACGAGAGTCTTACTCTATAACCCAGGCAAGTCTGTAACTGAAGTGGCTCAGGCTGGGATTGCCTCATAAGCTACCTTATCAGATAATTTTCTTTCTTTCTTGATAACCATAGCCTTCAAAATAAATAAATAAATAAATAAATGTTTAATATTGCTTTTTCTATGGTTTAGTTACCCGAATGGAAGATGGTGGAGTTGACATTTTTAGAAGTGATGAGAAACACAGCAGTAGAAACTGTTTTTTAAATTGCATTTTAATATACACAATTTATTTATACACATAATTAAATTTATGTATGTAAATTATGTACATAATAATATACATAATTAAATTAATATACATAATTTAAAAATATTGTTTGTCAGTATTATAAAAATGACTCTCAGATCAGTGAGCATGGTGGTACTGCCTTTTTTTCTCAGTGCTGGGCAGTTAAAGCAAGAGAATTGCCATGAATTTGAGGCTATCCTGGGCCACATAGTGAATTCCAGGATAGCCAGCAAGACACTGTATTAAGGAGAGAAAGACAAACCAACAAAATAACAACTCAGAATCTAATAATGTAGCTGCTTTTGTTAAGAATTTTTAATAATGTTTTAACATATGCAAGTTACACAACATTTAAACAGTGTATATTTATAGGTTCTAAAGAGCAAGAGTGAGTGGGCATGTGTTTGACAACATGCCTTTGATCTCTGGCAGAGGGGCTTGTATCTGATTTGGAGAGGAGCTTCGCCTACATAGTGAGAACCTATTCCCCTCCTCCTCACCCCCCCAAAAGGACGAACTTCTACAAGTCCACCTCTTTAACCCCTGTTTAGTATATATATAGTTGGAGTTTTCCTTCCACCTTGAAGGAGGTGTTGTAACCCCTTACTTGACAGGAGGCCCTGAGGCTGGGGGCACAAGTACATTGTCAGGGTTCACCTATCCAATAAATAGGCTGTGATTCAAACATGCATATATGACTCCAAAACTGTGTTACTTTTGCCTATTCAAAAATGTATATTTGTTTCATTTAGAATACATTTGACTGCTTTGTAAAATATATGAATAATGTCCAAATTACAGTTTAATTATTCATAGTAATTTTCATTTCAAAAAGAGACCAAAATTTAACTTGAAAGGAATTTTAGTCTTTGATGGCATCCAACAAAGACAAATTGGTTTTCTGCCTTTGAGGTTGATATGACTTTTTCTTGCTATTTTACAATCTTGCCCTGTTCTTGATCTATAGTGCTCTTTTGTACTTTCAAGTACTTGAAAAAGATTTTAGAAGAATGTTAGAACTTAGACATAGCATATAAATACAGGAGCAGAAATCATTGATGGATTATTTAGCTTGAAAGGGTTGTATACATTTTCTATTCTGTACATGTCATTTAAATGGAATCATTCGGTATATGATCCTTAGATGCTGTAAACATATATTAATGTAGCCACTTCATTGCCTGACTGTACCCCTCCTCCTCTCTTTGTTTATTATCTATCACTAAACTATACCCACAACTGTCACATTTTTAAGATTCGTTGGTTACAGACAGGCCTTTGCTTATTTTGATAGGAAGAGTATTTGTTATGAACAGTCTTATACAAGTTTTTGTGTAGAAGTAATTTGCCATTCTCGTGTGTGTTTACCTGGGAAGGGAATTGCTAGGCTATGTGGTAAGTTTGAGTTTTACCGTCTGAGAAATTGTCAAATTGTTTTCCACATTGACTGCACTGTTTTAATTTCCATTGACCGTGTAAATGGATTCCAGTTTCTCTCCTCACCAGTGTTTCTATCTTTTTCATTATAGCATCTTGTGGTGTTAAGTGGGATCATTTGCCTCTCCTTGGAGTCTAATAGTCTAGTAATGTGGAGATTGAGCAGCTTGCTGTGTGCGTGTGCGTGTGCGTGTGCGTGTGTGTGTGTGTGTGTGTGTTCTCTCTCTCTCTCTCTCTCTCTCTCTCT